ACAGGCCTTCTGCAGGCTAAGTGCTTATGTAAAGGGTGGGGAATACTTCTGCTGAATAGAACCCAAGGTCAACCCATTGTGTGAGTTTGTATGTGGAAGGGGAACAAAGGTTCTGGCTTCAATAAAATTAAATGAATTCATGTCTTGACTGGTATGCAGTCATTTAATGTTTATTACAGCCAGAACCTTCAGTCTGCTTCACAAATGCATATTAAAAATATTATTGTTAGAAAACAGTCGGAGAAAAAAAGCAATTATCCAACAAGATTTTAGCTACTTGTCAGTCAGGTTAGTTTCAATTCTGATTTCTTTTTTTTTTTTTTTTTTTTTTTTTTTAGAAGAAAAACATGTAATCAGTTGAAAAATAAAAGTATATCATCTCTTTTGGGATCTATTTCTAGAGAAAAGCATCTAAGCCACCACATTAGTAAAAGAAGTCTGCAAAAGCTTGTAAAGAAGAACAGTGTTAATGGTTTTCAACTTGGGCAACCACTTCCAAAGACCATCTTAAAAAAACATGTATTATTATTTCTGAAGCACTTCCGTGTTATCTATGTAAGTGTTAACTACTCCATTTCAACACACAGACCCCAAGGTTGTGTTACATTTTGTTAACAGAAAAATACAGTGAGCGAAAGAATTTGCCTCTTCCCTCCTAAAATCAGATCTGGCTCAAGGCATCTCACAGGGCAATAGGGCTGGGCTTGTGCTATTCTTGTCCGTAGAAAAGGGTAAAACTGAGAGCAAACAAAGCGCACTGCAAAATTAGGCTTGTAGCTTCTGGTGTTACTGGGACCAAGGGATGGGAAGGGGGAATGGACAGCATATGTCCCTCCCCAAGCAACAGCCCCAGATACGTCCACTTTCCACTGCAGCAGCAGCCACCTCCATCAAGTATGCTTTCACAAAGCTCTGGCGTAGCTGAAAAGCAGACAGGGGGTCAGGGCTGTGTTGCTGCCTACTTTACTTCAGCTTAGATTTTTTTGTGGTCAGATGTTCCCCAAATGTGATTTGGGGAACATCTGCAAAGAATGAATGAGAAGCCAAAAATGCATTTACTCCTGGTTCAATTCTATATCTTAAAGCCTTCTCGGAGGGCCCCAGTACACATTATGTTAAGGCTGGTTTAACTCATGCCACAGAAAATACCGTCTTTCTCCACTCTTTTACTATAGCTGACAGAAAGAATACAGGAAGCTTTAGAAGGGACAGACTTTGGCATTCTGACTCTTTTGCTCTTTGTACCACGAAAGAGCTTGATTCATGACTTGGTAGCTCCTATGCATAACAGAAACAGTAATACGTAAGGGTAGAAAAGCTGAGGTCTTTTATCTGTATATCAAAAGGCTTTTTTGTTCTATTTTTAAAAGGACTAAGACACTCCTGGCTTACAGCATCCTTACTGATTCATCTTAACGATGAATCTTCTACAATCTCCTGACTACTGCACATTAATGTGAAGGCAGTAAAAATCCATCTTCAATGATTACTAAACCTTAGTACATAGAAGAAGAAAAAATTTATGGAATTACAAGGTCTCACTGCACAAAAAATCTTGTCAATAATTGTAGACATTAATCCACTACACAAAACACATTCTTTATATATTGAAAAGTCTTAGTTTTGTTTTCCACAAAATATTTGAAGTGTTGCAGGTTGCTGTCTGCAAAGAAAACTGCAGAAAGCTGCAGAGGTTAAAGCAAACATGTCTCAGAGGACAGGAAACACTATCATTTTCCATTTTTACCTTTAAGTAGCTACATTCAGTGAGGTCTGAACTCCTCATATGGAAGAGCTGCCTAATATGGAAGCTGCTGACATAGGTAAAATTGGAGACATTTATCTTGGCATGTGACAAAGTATCTTATCAGCCTCATTAGTGGCTTAGTATGTCTCATCAATCTTTACTGTACCCAGTGGTAAATGCTGCGTACTTGCCATTGGATAGGAATAGGCACATACCAGAGAGGTTAGGGTGATGATCTGTGTAGTCATGAATAAATTTTGTTTTAATAAAGGTGTCTAATGCTCATGAAAGGTGATAGCCCTGAAGACTGAACCTTCTGTTTATCTACACAACAGGTGCAGGATGGCCAGTGTCAGAAGTTGCCAAACTGCCTCCAAAAACTTGGCTTGCAGTTACTGTGTCTCTGAGCAAGGCAGGTGCTCAGGAACGTCCGTCCCTCTCTACCAAGATTACTACAGGAGACCCAGTGAAGAAAGGTCATAAGATGCACAGATGTGTGGAACAAGAACAACATTATCAAGTTCACTTTGCACAGGCCACTTAGGAACTGGTAAATGGGAAAGACTGTACAGCATTGCCAAGCTGGTTAACTGAAATCACTGAATTCCACGTGAAAATTTGGTTTGCATAAGGGCAAAATAAACCTGTAGCAAAGACGGAACAAACTCTCTCCTCCTCGGTCACCTGTTTCTATGATTCACCTGGATGACTCATGTTTGAAATAGCCATGCTCCACAGATCTGTTCTGGCTTATTTGGCTCCAGTGAAGCGTGTTTTTTGGTCATACTATGGATAATGGAAAATTCACAGATGAGAAACATACATAGTTGAATACCACATAAGCATGAGTCTCAACTACCTAGTGAAGAAAATAAAATCATGGAGAATGGCCAGGTAATTGCACAGCACGGAAATAAAGAGAATCATGATCCCATGGTGGGCAGAGAAGAAGATCATTTCTTCCTAGGACCAGAAGCCATAATAAGATCCAGCACCATATAACGTCCTCTACTTTAAAGCTGCCCCTCCTAAGTGTTCTGACCAGGTCAGTAAAAGGAAAAAAATTACATTAGGCTAAAAGAGAAAAGTTTAAAAAACAATCTAAACAAACTTCGTGAAACATGACTTATAAGGGAAGATATTTAGCCGAGCTTGTTTTGGGCCTGGTGAATCCGTGCATGTTACAGAATGCACGGAGAATAGGATCAGCCAGAGCATGGTTGTAAGAAATTGCGATCACAGAACCTCAGAAAGGAATTATTTTCTAAATACGTACACCAAAAAGAGGCAAAAATAATCAGTTTCAAGCTTCCCAAAAAGGCTTTGGCAAATGTCTGCAGTATTTTGTGACACAAGCCAAAAACTAACAAATATAGCTGCCCAGAGAAAAAAGCACTGGCAACAAAAGACAGATGCTGACAAAGCTAGACTCAAAGAATCTGTATTTTATGTGGACCTGGTTTAAAACCAAACTGTGACTCTCAATGTACTCAGAAACAGTTTCAGCTTGGCTAATACTCCACCCGTAACAGACTACTGTGCAAATTTATTTTACTGAAGTATGAATCATTACAGCCCATACAAGCATTTATCTCCAAAATCTTTCCTCAGAAATATTTATGGACTTAACGGAAAATGTACAATGGTAATAGACGTGCTTGCCAATTATAAAAGAGCTCATCAGCATATTCACAGATGTAGACAAGATTCTTTATTAATAGGCTAAGACGTGATTCATCACTGATTGTAAAGTAGCACTGTACCAACACAGTTTGTACTCCAACACAGTGGATTGCACAGTACAAGCTACACCTCCGTGTGAATAGCTTATGCATCCCAAGGCAGCAGAAAAGCAAAACATCTCTTTGTGCTGTGGCCCTTTAAGACTCTACTAGGGATGGCAACTTGAAACCGTCCTCAGGAACCTAAAGCAATCCACATCTACACAGCTCTCAACCTGTTTCTCCTCCTCCTCTTTTATGACAGATGGTTTCTGAATGTTGGCTTTAGCAACACATTTACCTCCAAAGATACCAACTTCTCTACGTTTAAGCTGAGGGTGTTTGGCATGACACCTGTGAATCCTAAACACAGATAGGTAACCAGCTCCTGAATAAACCTATGTACTCAATTGCAAATCTGCAGTTATTCTAATGAAGTGTTTTCCACTCTGGACGGGCTAATAGCAATATAGCTGCATTAATGTAAACTCTCAGTTTAAAAAAAAAAAAAAAAACCCTTCACTAAAGCTTATGTTGGCAAGCATCCCTAAAGCATCAAATACATTTCGATTCTTTTCTACGCCAGTTAATCAGTTAATGATGAAATCAATTGATCATCATCAACCTTCTAAAATGGGAGTACCACAACAAGATAAAGCATTCCAGGAATGATCTAGGATATACACCTTCCTCCGCATAACCCAGCAACTGCTCCTTACATATCCAATGATATTACCATTTCTTGACACCGGACACTCCTGATACACTGTTTTTGCACTGTGAACTGTACACCTTTTCTCACATATTATTCTTTCCAGGATAGAGTCCTCCATTCTGCCAGCGGGCTCTGCATTCTTTGTTCCTAGATGTATGACCTTTTACTTGGCTGCATTAAAACACATTTTATTTGAATAAAGCAGTACCTCAGATCACTCAGTGAAACTGAGAATAGAATTTGGAGACATCATGTTTAAATGAAAGTAATATGGATGGCTTCCAAATTCTGGGAAGGTTTGTTCCCCAGAATCATTCTGAGAGGGATTCCATATAAAAATGTAAATAAGAGCCAGGATTATTTGTGCTGAAAGACAAACAAAAGCATTACCTTTCTAGCTATCAGGAGCCAATGGAAGGGTGTCTCTAAACGACCTTACCTTTCATCTTGACTGTATAAAAGGCAACAGCCTCACCATCTCTCCAGAGTATTTTGGCACACTCAGTGGCAGAGTGAGGTAGAAAGAATGCATCATTAGCTGAACTCCCTTCCAGCATTCCAAAAATAATGTAGTTCAGAACAAAGAGGACAATCCTTTCTCCAAATGTCTGGACCTTAGAGAACAAACAAAAACAGACCAAAGACAAATAAAACAAAGAACAGTATTTTGCCTTTCATGAAAGACCTCAAAATTAAAGTGGCTGGGAAGGAGGTGGTCAGGGAACATGTACATGCAACTTGGGGAAAAATACCTCGTGAATTGGTCCAGATAGAATAATAAAAATATTTTTTTCTACTATTCCATCCTTCATCCAGAGGGTGTAGCATAATCTACTAATAATTTATAAAGCCTGCCAGATTTCCTGTTGTCACAGAGAAGACTATTAAGCACCAGGAAAAGAAGTGTCAGTGAGTGATAGAGTTGGAAATAGGATCAAGTCAATCTAACCTGACCCAAAACAGAAATACAGAGAGGATCCACTGTGCTATGCTGACCACCACTTCACTTCTGTCTGTCTTGCTATAGCATCAAAGAACCTTAGCTATGGGCAGGACCTTACTGAACTAGAGACTATACTAAAGAGAGATTAAAAACAATCTCTGTCCCACACGGCTTAGAATCTATGCATAACAGCAGGAACAATTGGCTTTTACACAGTGCTTCTTTTTAGATAACCAACAGGACAGAGAGGTGGAGAAATGCAAAGGAACAAGAAGATAATACTGGTCAGCAAGACAAAAACGTGAGGCCAACAACCTTTTCAGGAATGTAGAAAAAGAAAACGAGAGTTTCCACAAATGACGACGACTTTACTCTTAGCGATAAGCGAGAAAGGGCAAGTTTTCTGTTTTCTGATATTTTTTCATCCTCTGTAGATACAGCAGATGCTTGAAAATTGGCTGAAAGCCCGTGTTTCTGCCCCAAGTTCTATCTTGCAAGGATTTCTAGCTCAAAATCCGTCCAGTTCAGTTACACCCAGAAAGCCTATTTAGTTCAGTGAAGAAAGGATTTCAAACCTGATGTATGACAGCTATTAGGGAAAGATGACAAATGAAAAGAATCATGAAGGACCAAAACCGGACACAGAGGGCTGGGTAGGAAATAGGACGGACTTAATAGCCTCATGGCAACATAAAGCCCACACACAGTAGGTAACTGATTTCTTAGTTGAAAGCAAATTAAATTAAAGGCTACCAGAATCTCTCAAATTATTCACCCATGAAAAAAGTAGTTGTATCCTACTAAGATTATTTATTTTGAAAAAGAATTACAGATTTAAAATCTCTTAAATAACAGTTCAATAAAATAAGCACAATATAAATACTGTCCAAGGCAAACGCTTCTGTAAATAGCTAGATAAGACATTGTTTCAAAGGGTGGTAACATCTCCCGTCAGACACTCAGTCACGCAGCACTAATGTGAAGAGTTATTACTAATGTAATAATTCTGTTAATCTGATTATTTCTTTACCTGGCAGTGAGGGTGAAGTAAAACTACACAGAATAAATCCCACAGATGAATCATAAACCAAACTGAATATTGTTTACAGAGGGTAAACGTGCATGCCACTGTGCAATGGGAGACATTTAAAGTACTTGGTGAGCCACATACCTCAGATCCCACCGGTTATAAAGCATGGGCTAAGGGAGAGAACTACATATGATTGTTCTAGCTCCAGGGTAAAGGCAAATGTTGTTTAAAATAGCATCCTTACCGAAATTAGCCCATCTCTAGAAGGATCAGCTGTCTTTACTACATCTTCAATAGGCCACCAAGACTGGTTCAAATAAACTGCCAAAACTACAAAAAGAGAGAGAGAGGGGAACACATCAACTGCAGATAAATATTCATCTGGCTCTACATCTTTACAGAAGCAGGCTCACCCTCTTCCGCCTCCAGCTGACTTCAGCTTGATTCGCTGAGAAAACAGAATAATGGTAATGTTTCCATTTCATCTCCATGTCCCTTGATAATGTTTCCATTTCATCTCCATGTCCCTTGATATCCAACTTTCAATCCTGAATGGAGCATCAAGTGCAGGCAATTTTCCTCATGAATTGATGTTACTTTGGTATGACAACTTCTGTGCCATATGAATAAACAGCTTCCTGCATGATACCTTTATAGTACCACAGTATGACTGAGTGGCGTTTGGGACAGAGAGCACTACCTAGAAGTTAAAAATTAACTGAAGGTTACATTTCGGAAGTTTCTTTGAAACCTTCAGCTGTACACATGCATACATACCCATATTTGCACCCATGCATCTCAAGCCTCAAAGTTTTCATATCCAGTTCATCAAACTTTTTTTGGCTGCCCACATGATTGAATTCCTATGTAACTGTAGCTTTAGAGTGCAGATCCTAAAACTTCTGCATGGACAGATATTCAATGCAGTTCAAATGCATGGACAGATGTTTCCATCCACAAAGGGCAGACACGTGCACAGATATGTAAGGTACGCTTTGCCCTGAAGCAAAAGTTGATCGTAAGCCTATACATTATTTAGGTATAAATATACTTGCACTTATACAAGTGCTATGCAGAACTTGCGCTCCACTTCTTCCCATCCTTCTTGAAATCTTCACACATGCAGAAGCAAGTATCTAAAAACCAACTCCCTTAAGTCTGTCTACAGAATTCATTGCCTGCCATTAGATTTACAAGAGAAAGATCAAAGTAGCAACAGTAAGACTGAAATTACTCCCAAGGACTGGTCAGAAAGAAAAGTTTTTAGCATGGGGGAAGCTCAAAAGGTATTAGTTTTTAAAGGTTTAGATTAGTTTTTAAAATAAAGACAGATATTCAATATTTTATGACCAATGACACATCAAGTAGCAAACGTTTCAGCAAAAAGAACTTTTATTATCTGTATAGTGGTGACATCCACCTACAGAACCGACACGGCCACAGTTTCAGGAGTGCTCAAGAACACCGATATATTTCCTACCTTCAAACAGGACAGTCTGCTTTCCCATTTTTAGACAAAGAGAACACATTTAATATAGGAAGTATGTTGCAAAGAACAGGATGCTTCTCTAAGCTATCCAACTACAGACAAACACGAGAAAGTTAAAAGCCATCTACCAGCTAGAGACAAATTTACGCACAAGCAAGTGAAACAGCTTTAACAGGAGTCACCATTTACCTGTTTTAGCCTCAGGTTATACAAATGTTTCAAACGTGCACAGGTTAGTTTCCCTTTTTGCTTCAGCCTTCACCAGCTTCCACTGGCTTTCCGGCTGGAGACTCTGCCTAGCTAACTTATATTTTGAATAAACTACTAAAGTATGTGCCAAAAAGTGTTACACTCTGTGTACTGGATTAACAACGAAGAAAGTATTGCATGCAAGGGCAGATGCTTGTTTATAGCCCCAGATCCAATTCATTAAATATTATGCATTTACTCGCATAGGAGTCTCATACTCTTTTTGTGATGGATGCAATCTGTTCCCTCAATCCCTTCACTCTGCTTTCAAGTGCAAGCAGCCACTGCTCCATTACACATCCACGAAACATGCAGCTACAAAGGAAGCTGAGTCAGACAAAAGGGAAATAATGGGCCAAATGCTGACTTCAGTGGGAGTTGCACAGAGATTTGGCACATAGTCCAAGCACATACAATGCACATAGTAAAGGTCAGAAAAGTTTGAAAAAGCTTTGATGAAAAATAGGAGGATGTATAACCATGTTCTAAGGAGCTACTTTTATAGAGCACTTACTGTGCTGTTCAGTAATTTAAATGTGTGGGGGGGAGAACACTAGTTGACATAGCAACTGTCACATCACAGTACTTGAGCAACCTTATCTATACGGATGCCTTCCTTGGAGAAGAAACATTTCTCCAGATTTCACACAAACATATGTACTTTGCTTTTTGTTATCATTTCTCAAGTCAACATCTGGTTCGCAGTTCCCCATTCATGCTTCCCCACATTCTCACTTTCATTTTATAATCAACTCTGAGGAATACTATTTCAAATGCACACACGTTCACTCTCTTTTCCCAGGCCTTGTTATTCTTTCCAAGACATCAGGTTACGTTCACCTGATCAAAAAGATAAAGCTATTGTCATTCAGTAAGTTACACACATCACCTGAACCCTTGTTGATCACGAGGTACATGCCCCCAGCCCATTGCAATCGCAAGACTAGGTGAAACGGCTGAGCCCAATACATTTCAGCCCACAATTACTGGAGTATATACATGCTCAGTCGCGTGGCTCGCCCTGTAAGCACTAGCTTGCTAAACCTCATTACTTTGATCACTTGCAGTCAGACAAACACATTCAGAGTGCTGCAAGAAGCTGAGAGCTTGTGAAGCATATGATTCTATACCACTATGGGCATTTAGAAAAATAGTACCGAACAACACTGAATTGAACGAGGCTCTAAACATACTGCAAGTGTGATTATGAAATGCTTCCTTTTGCTGGGCAAACACGTATTTCTTCCCAACTCAGGTCTGGGTTATATTTTTACCTCCTACGCCATGCTGGCCAAACATGCCTACACTGGTGTGAAACTATTCAAACGAAACGCGTGCATCAGGACTCTGTACTCGGGAGTACAGCGGAAAAATTAGAGCAAAGCCCAGCTTGGTATTTCTTCTGCCTCAGTCTTCACCTAAATTGCTGAAATCCATCCCTTAGTCACAATCCAAATTAAAGACAACGCTTTCAGTAAAAGGTATAATTTGAGCTTGCCTACTAAATACCAGATCTACCAGTTCTTCTAACATTAGTTTTTCCTTAATTTTGGAAGTATTTCAGACTGATGACACATGTCAGATTACATGTCACTTTCGCCACATTTCCACCTTAGAAGGAGAATAGTAAATTACCCCAACAAAAAATTCCATGCAACCATGCCTAGGTCACCTCTGATAATTGAGCAAGCTCAGAGATAGTACACTAAATTGCATTTTGCAATGCCTACATACCCTGAGTAGCTGTGCGTCCCAGTTCCCTATATTTAAAATGGAATCAAAGCATTTATCTCTCTCTTAAGAGTCTTAACAGAAATAAATACATTAACGCTTGGGAGGCACGCAGATGCTGCAGTAACGGCAGCCATTCAAGTATCTAAGTTAGATATCTTTCCTACAACCAACTCCATTTTCTTCAACAATTCAAGTTTTACTCAGTGATTTGTGGCAAATGTCTTGTGATAAACGTTCCATGGCATCTAACAGTTACTGTAAATTATTATATACGGCATACAGAAGGTGCCACAACAGGGTATGTTTATTTAGTGTCACAAAGATGTTAATCACCCATACTATATGCTCTGTAAGCCCTTACAACACAGTTCACATTCTCATAAAAATATCTGTACAGATACAGTAACAGAACACTTAGCCTATCACAAATAAATTAAAAATGCTCCCAACCAAGAACAAGTCCTATGGAAAAGATGCCACAGTCATTTGCTCTTTGCAATATGCAGGTCATTTCATACCACAAGCTAAGCATCGCTTCTGGACAATCCATCTGATTAAGGGGATCAGATATAAACCTCAGTGTTGCAATCAACCCCTCTTTACCCTGTGCCCAAGAATCAAACCTTAGGGCTCTTCTCAGGCAAACTTGTATCTAGACTGTTAAGTTCAGATTCATTCAAATTTTCAAAATTCAAACTCTTCCGGAGTCTAAAGCATTAGAATTTCAAACATAAACGGTTAGATTGACAACATCTGCTTTGGGAACTGTGGGAAAATAAGCATATTACTGTGGTTATTATATTTAAGCATCATATAAATTAGTTTATCTATGTATGCACTAATTATCTCTTACAGATATAAAAACAAAGAAAGCCTAAAGAGGAAACCCCGTGTCAGTTGCCTCCCAATGCCCCACTGACATCAAACTTGCAGATGTTGGAGCAAAATCGGAGAAAGTGACGGTGTCAGGGACGGGGCTGGAGAAAAGAACTGAATTCTGAAGGCTCCAGCTAGAGTATGGGCAGTCACCAGCCAGTACAACCATCGAGCAAAGGGAGGTCTTGGCCCTCAGAAACAGTAGGATATAGCCTCAGAGCAACCTGCAAGATGTGCAGGACCAAGCAAGGAGGATTCCACTGCTTCTCTCTGCTCCACTGCCCACACCAGGACCTGAGAATACACATCTAAATATGTCCCGCCCACCTCTTACTAGTTGCATCTTCTACTCTATTTCCAGCCACTTCTCAGCAAAGCACCTCTCCCCAGTGTATTCTGCAGTCCACTAGACTCCCTAGCATTCCCCCTGCTCAGGTGGCTCTCAGACTAGGGAGGACAGAGGAGAAGAGATGCAGAATGGAGAAGCATCAGTTTACTTTTTCCAAAGTGAAACAAGGTCAAGATATAAACCAGTGCAACATCCTGGACTTCTAAAAGGTGTGAGTGAATTGCAAGAGGAAACATCAGTAGCCATGTCTGCATTGGCAAGATTAACAAAAGTGAATTTGCAGACCAAAACAGTTGGCGCAGAGAATCTGATACTCACAAGTTCCAGTCTGATGCTGGAAACTGAAAGCACATTAGCAGTTAGCACACATCAGCGTGCTTCTGGCAACGTGCGCTAGAGGACCCTGCTTGAGCAGGGGGGTTAGACTAGACGACCTCCAGAGGTCCCTTCCAACCTCAACCATTCCGTGATTCTAGTTTCATTTCAGCCAAAGGCAATCCAGTTCCCATACACTGAGACTACTCCTTAATATGAACCAAACCGCAGTATATGGGGACAATTAGGGAATTTGCTTCTAAGAGCACTCCTGATGTGAACTGAAACTCAAATACAGCCATACCCAGAGAGCCAATGAGAAAGAGGAAAAGAAAAGAGATCTGCTACTGCAAAATTGTTAGTTTCTTCTTAGCTGGATGAAACCACAGCTCACAAGAAAAGAGAAAAGTTTAAGTGAGTAAAAAGAATCATACAAACCATTCAGTATTTTAACTCTTTGCCCACGTGCTTAATTAATGGTGAGTAAATTAATAAATAGTGCTTTTCTCTGAAGAAATTTGTTTTGAAACTATGTGATCTGTTCCCTGGTCAGAATGAAAGGTCCGACAGGTAAGCAAATCCAGACGGACTTGCCACATGACATAGCCTGCTGCCCTAACAGTCAATTCCAAGTATGTTAAATTGCAGGAAAAATATTTGGACAAAATACTTAAAATATATATGGCTATACATACACAGACACACCCCAGTAGACCTTAGAGAACTAATGACAAAATTATTAAAATTGACCTAGTTTAAAAAAAAAAAAAAAAAAAGGTCAAAACTGATGCATGTAGGAATCCTATCTTCCACTTCTACTAACGTTGGCCACAAGTTTATAGCATGTAAAATCCAGAAACAGAGCCCTTCCAGGAAAAAGCCCTAAATCATACTTTCAAAAGGCAATATTAAAAGTCAGATGACGCAGGCCTTACTTAAATACCTAGACTTGTCGATCTCTGTAGGACTCTTTCTGTGACAATGGGCCAGTGAAGCAAGCTAAAGGTTTGCAAGGGGTTTACAGCAGTAAGTCAGTTTGTTGCTTACAAAATAAGCAGCAGCTTATTTTGCTAGGTTTAAGCTTTGAATGTAGATAACTTTCATATAATTTAGTCTCCATTGTGGACCTGTGTGACTTTTTCCGTGCAGTAAATCTTTTGCCTTTGTGCATAGGTATCTCTAATATATGTTGCTCCTACTATTAGACTATAAAACTGAAGACTTGTGCTAAATGCGTTGCTTTCATCTGCATATATTCAATGATTCTTTATTTTTACACTGTAGTTATTACATATCCCCATCCCTCTTGAGCAACCTAAACTAACTTTATGCTGTTTTTAACTACATTCCTTTGAACACAAGTCAGTAAGTATGCCCAACTGCAATCACACTGCAAATTTGGTCTCTGGTGTACATGCTTCTTTCCTTTATCACACCAGTGCCTCTTCATAAAAATGTTAATGTGATATATAGATTAATGGAAAGTACTTCTATTTCAATAGTTTTAGAGGGACCATAAACTGTAGTCTAAAGACTACACTTGTATCTTGGAAAGCTCTCCCACCTTCCACTATGTGAATCACAGCCCATTTGTGAGCTGTCAATTGCAAACGTATGTAAAAGGAGTAGGAAAACTTTGCAGAGTTCACCTTCAACCACAGATGATTTTAATCTGTTTTTTCTTCTTATGAAGAAATTTCCTGGTTGCAGGGTTTGGACTGAAGAAATGAATACTTAGTTACACTAACAGTGCCTGTTCAAGAGGTGTAAGATCTTCCCCTGCCACTCTAGGAACTAAACCTAGCATACTAAATTTCTTTGCCTTGTCTTTGTTGTATTATTAAAAATCCTGGCTGTAAACTTCTTCTGAGCATAATTTATAGCTTATCCTTTCATTAAAAAAAAAAAAAAAAAGTCAGATGTGGTTTTGGTGACAGATCTCATTAGGGTGCTGCCACATTCGGGGGCTTAAAGTTTAACAGATTACAGAGTCAAGGCTTCGTGTGTTCTTGAAGATAGGAAGCGATATATCGCATAATGCGTCAATGCATAGTTCATGTCTTTGCTGTAGTTGCTCCAAAAACTATAGAGCCTTCTTCATTTCATGGGTCACAACCTGTGCTTTTGGTACTATGCAAACTGGAGTCAAGTTTACTGTTACTGACAGTGCTATCAAGGTTTGTTATTTATTTTACGTTTTCAGCTTTTCACATACCAAAGATAGACCCGTACACCTGCCTAAAAGAGTAAGTAGGAAGAAACTAGGCTGTGTCTTGAGACACTGCGACCCTGACAGCAGGAAGAGAAAACTTAGGTAAGATTATTACCTCACATCTTAAGCATCTGTTGATACTTTAAGCAGTGACTCATGAAAAAGAAACATCAGTAATTTCATACCGATTTCTACTGCCTATAACTGGATTGCAGTGTATCCCTGTCAGGATGACACATGGCTGTAACTGGAAAACAGCAGCATTACTAGTAGAAAGTAAGGCAAAGCTGGTCGATATTAAAACAAATTTTGGGAGAACTGCCAAATAAAATGGGTTGAACTCGACTCTTGAGCTTGAACTCTGTCCAAATTTGCCACTTGCAGGCCAACGCCACAAACAGGAGGCAATTAAACCTAGAACTGAAGAAGACACCACAAAGGAAAAAATAATATGAATAAGAATCAGTAAAACCTGATACCATTTCACACACATATATATATTTGCTCTTTTTTTGTTGTTTGTTTGTTTGTTTTTTTTTACAAATTTCAAAATTCTATCCGTTAAATTCCACATTATCCTGAAGTAGAAAAATAATATCCCACTGAACAAATTCAGAGAGAATAAGGATTTACTAAAAGTCATTCTTTCACCAGTAGCAGAGTTATGTAAAGAATCTGAAAGCCCTGACTGTAATCCCCCCCCCCTAAATCAGTAGGCCATACATACAAATCCCTGAAGGGTGTACTGAATCTGCTTCATATTCAAAACAAAACCAAAAATACTTATGTACGTAAACCAGCAGACCAACTTTAAAGTAAAAGGAAGTACAGCTACTCAGATTTCAAAATATTTTGACCAAGTCTAACCTGTCTCTTTATCCTGTGGATCAGTTAACAGCAACATTTTGCAAGTAGCATTATTTCGGTAGAGAGGGACAAAACACACACAGGAATCTTCAAGTTTAACCTGAAAAAAAAAAAACAAAAAAGAGTCCTGTAGCTGTTTGTAGTGTAAAGCTAGCAAGAGTACTTAATGTATTCGATGCACTTACGCTATGTTTTACTAACACGCATAGAATAAGCTTAGCACTATACCCTCTCAACCTTGAACTTCAAGGCACTGATATATACAAAATGTTCTAATATTATCAGTAAGTAACATTAATTTAAAAGGAATCAGCTCATCATCAGCTCATAAAGTCAGCAAAGACCTTAATACTGACTTACGACTAGTACATAACCTGCCTTTGAACACTGTTACAGCGCAGGATGCATCCCATGCAGGCAAATGGTGTTAAGAAAGACCAGACACATTTGTATCAAATAAAAACAAATACAACTTGCACTTCTGACAGCATCATCCCGCTGAGGACTTGTGGTGTTTTGCAAACAATGAATTAAGCCCCAGGGTATAGGGAGTATCAAAGCATTAGGGCAGTGCCTGGGCAGTTTATCTGGGAGGCACAGGGAGGGTAGATAATTGGCACAAGGTGGTAAAGTTGCAGAGAAAGCTAAAAGCAGAATGCAGCTCTCCGTCTTAGACTACACTTACAAATGATGTGATACATAAACACAAAATTACTGCGCTCAAACAGCTCTATATGCATAGAGATGATGATTTCCATATGAATATTGAAAATGCTCTCATATAAGTTTAGGTACAGGCAAAGATTGTGCATAATTTAGCACAGTATGTACTGTACTTTCAAAAATCTGGTGCATTGTGTATGTGTGGGTGTGCCTCTCTCTCTAATTACACCCATTTGTCAGTTTGCTATGAAACTCAAATCAGTCATGTGATACATTTAATACTTCTTGGTGCATGGAAAGAGCAGTATGAATACGGATTATTCGAGACAACAACTTTAAGTTGAAACCAGTGTTCACTAGTTCATCAGTGTCAGAATCCTGGGGTCATCTGTGCAAACATTGGGCTCCTGGGGGGGAAAAAAAAAAAAAAAAAGAAAACTGCCTGAAATCTGCATGCATGAGCTTCCTGAAATTTCAGTAAGTTCTGAGGACTCGGTCCTTCTTTTCTTGCTACAAATATAACAGCATCGATGTCACAGTGGCACCGGGGAGCAACGCTATAATAAAAAGGCCAGTACTATTTCCAATCCTACTGCTATGACTGCTATTTTGTTTTGTAATTGAATGTGCACTTTCACGGGTGTTAATAACATTAGTATGAGCCAAGTATAGCTTTCTCTGTATGAACTCTGCCAATGCACTTCCATCCTGACTTGCAATAATCCTTGCTATTTAGATACTGAATGCTTGAGCAAGGACTATGACATACCAACAAGAATTTCTGTGACCTGAATAAGTGGGCTGACAGTTACCTAAAACTTGCTAGCTAATTATGCACAGCTGCTGGTCCTGCCACCTGAAACCTACTTTAATTCAGACGGATGGCGGAAAAAAAAGGCTTGTAACTACAGTCGATTATCCAAATACCAAAATCCTCATCCTTCAGGTTGTAGGTTTGTAATAGGGATTGTTAGCTCAGATGTCCACTGGGGATGGGAGCTTAACCTTGCTATATTTATTTTTAATTACAAAATATCAACATTCATTGAAGTATTCATTATAGCTTATTAGGAAAAAAAGATATAGCAAGAACATGACCATTACTTATGCCCTTGACTAGCTGTCTGATTGCAGATGAGATTAGACCTGAATTAAATGAACGCAAAAAGAAATCTGTTGCTATGAGGCTCAAATCAGCTATGTGACATATTTAAGGTCTGATGACAAGCCATAAAATCATGACAGTTGTGAATGAAAAGCCAAAAGTCCACCTTTAACTGATCTCACTGCATCTAGCTACTGCAGAAATACATACAGCACTGCTTGGGATTTTATGCTACCCTCCTTTCTAATTGAACAGTAAACGAGCTTCTAAAAGTGCAATCAGGCATGAAAAGCTGAGCTAAGGACGCAGAAACCTTAAACTGGGGGATCTTTGCATTTTCAGGTTTGTTTGTATTTAACCCTGCACGGTCCACTAGAGGGCATTAAAAGAGTATTTAAAGCTAGTCATAATCACTTCTCCAACACAAAGCTACCCCACCTGAAACAGCATTTTTCTGGAAACTACCGCATATTATTTTCCTAAACTGTAGAAGAGCCACTGTATTCCAAACAAAGATTTATTTCAACTAACCCACTTTTTGGTTTTGTAGTACAACAACAGCTGGTCCAGTACATCTTTCATGATCTAGAAAATTCCCAGAATATAAAGTTTCCTACGTTGACTAACGTAAGAATTTTTAATGGACCTATTCAGTCATCTCCAACCCATTCCTCAAGTGGCTCAGGACTGGACGCTAAAGCACTGGCACCTAACAGCATTTACACCACCTATCAATCACTTCTGATCCAAATTGTTCCAGGAGGACCCACGTTCAAAGTTATCAAGATAACTGTTAGAAGGAACGGAAACAGAAAACAGGCTATATCACAATAACTGCGTAAACTGCACAACAGAGACAGAATACAGAGCTGAGACCTGGTATAAACCTCTACCAGGTTCACTTTTGGTTCAGCCCTATAAGGACGTAGGTCAAGGTGCAAAGTTCAGCTAATACTTCAAACCCTCATCCGCTCTCTGGAGGGTTTTGGACTTACAGTTTGTCTCTAACTTGCAGGATGCAAGCTACTTGAAATAAAGCAGAATCTGCTGATTTTAAGACATTTCTAATCTGGCCCCATCTGTTCTCAAACGGACTGTAAACACAACCAACAAACTAGCTTTTGCAGGTATCTAACTTTCAGTACGAAAAACATCAGCCTATTACCTTTTCTCCTCCAGGGAGGGAAAAAACGTCAGGAGCGGATGATGATTTCTTGAAGAGTTTCTCATAGTATATTTCAGCATCTGCTTGCAGAAACTCTGGATCGCCTACTAACGTATCTACCAAGTAAACGCGATCTGTAGCTAAAAAAAGAAAACAAGACGTTTTTAAAGTGAACTAATAAATATGGATTTTAAAACTCCAGTTTCCCCAGCAGCTTACTGGAGTAACTGGGCCTTTTGTATAATCCTTGTCTAAAATAGCAAGGCTGGTAAAAACCTGTATATTTGTGATCTACCTCTTGACATGCAATTTGGTAGAGCAGATCTGTGGCAGCATCAAATCACATTTGTCTCTTTTGAATTCAACAAGCACACTCTTAAATTTCTCTAGGTGCAAGTAGTTTACTTGAAAGCAGGAAGAGCAAAAAACCCCTTCAAAACGCAGCTTGATTTTTAGTACTATCTAAAAATATAACAGGAAAAGAATTCCAAGGCTTCCACTGCTTCTTGGAAGACTGCCCCTTTATGGGTCGGTTCATGATCTGTTGTATATCCTTAGCTATCCCTTTTCGCTTTGTTCAGTCATGTCAGTTGGCCGCTTTCACAAATATGAAATAATACCCAAAAATATTAAAACATTTAGCCACAGAAGAGTTTCCCAAATTAATGACCACAGTCCTTTATGAAGTGTAATTTTAATTCATGTGACTCACTGCTATAAGATATTAACGAAAGGTATTTGGTAATTGCATGCAATCAAAATTTACATATATTTGATACCTGCTACCTAAACACAAATTCCATAGCACCACAGTGTCTGTGAGGAACCAAGCAACCTCTTTCTAGTATAAGAAATCAGACTGGTCATACAACACCAGCTCAGACAAAGAATATCAGAAGCAATGGGTTAGCAAGGGGTCATCGTATCCGGCCAGCCTCCTGACATATGAGGGAAATATTTTAAATTTAAGGGGCTTTCAATCAATAAGCCACACCTGTAACTCTTGTAAGTCCCAAATGAGGGCAAAATCTTCTACCACACTGTTATATTTTGAGACTTAGCTCTGATTCCTCCATTTTTAATCATGGTTTGTTCTCACATGGCAGCTCCCATGACCCAAGGATAATGTGAAATAACTGCACTGATAGGAAGTGCAAAGTTAACGGGCTGAAAGGACAAACAGTCTTACGAGGGTCACTGTGAGAACAGTCTGTACTGAGATTCAGGAACTACAGTACTACAGATCATAAAATTATAATAGTGAAAAGATACCTTTCAATAGAGTATGAGAATTGCAGCACCAGGTCACACTATGCATCCATCCCCTGGCCCCAGTAGCAGCCAACATCTGATTTCCTTAGGAAAATGGTAAGAAACTACAGCTGATAACTCATCACCAACCAGCACTGCGTAAAATGGTTTACAAACTATTTTCCTGCCCTTTGCAGGCAATCAGCTTACATCCAGTAGCTTGGTAGCAAAGCCACGTACTCAGAACGCTGAACAGAAGCTATTGTGTAAACGGTTTTTCTAACGTGCTTGTATGTGACAAAATGGGAGAAAAGAAGCATTGCAACACTGGCAAGTTGAGTCACATTATAAAATCCCAGCCAGTACTTAGCAGTGGCAATTTTCTTCTGCAGCGGGCTTCCCCAGCGTACTGTGTAACACCAAGTAAAAATGCCATATAAGGTAAAGAAGAGATTAAGGATTATTATTAAAACCTTTGGTAATTTATTTTTTTAATGAAGGCATATCCAGCATGGCTGCTTTCAATTTTTTCAAATGAAAAGCATGTAAGACTTAAGTTTAGCATAAAGATATTGGTTATGCTAATAAATTCTATTTACGAGATGCCACTTACAAGACTATATCCTGCTATTGTTAAGCCAAAGCAACTTAATAAGCACAGCTTCTTCTCACTGAAGAAAATAACTAATACCTTCAAAGTTGCACTAGCTTTCTGGTACATATATTTATGCTCTAAGGTAACAGTGATCTTCTGAAAGGATGAAATAACCTCACAAGTTAAATAACGAGGCACTAAGTAAAACTGCCGATCAACATCCCATTAATATAGCTTTCCAGGTGAGCCCTTTTTTTTTTTTTTTTCCCTCTAAAATATGTTTGCATACTTCCATTTAACTTGTCTTTCCTGCTCAATACTCTGAAAATGGCTAAGTGAGTTAGGAGCCCATTTCCAACCAAGGGGAAATCCACACTTTTTTTTCATGAAAAACATAAATCTCTCTATACATCCATAGGTAAGGCAGAAAGAGAGAGAGAGGGGCTCCTTTAGGACACCAGAGAGCAGAAGTCTAACTTTTGGTGCCCTGCAGTGTCCCCGAGAACTTAGCTGTGCTCAGGCTGGCCTTTGTGAACATCCCCCCAAAACCTGCACACACATGCACATACCACTGATCCTGTTCAGCTGCAGCGGGCAGGAGAGAGATCACAGAGGTAGTTTGAATTTTTTGTGTTAATTAATGTGTTTCCCAATTTTCCTCAGTATAAAGGGAAGGAATATTTACCTGTCAGTATATGTCTCTCTCTCTCTCTCTCTTTTTTTTTTTTTCATATATGGAAATGAAAAAAAAATGGACATTAAGTTTAACCATTACTATTGTTATTAGGCATTTGACTCACAACAGTAACTGTTGCTGGCTAACACGATGTTACAAATGTTCCACAATCAATTGCAAAATAATTTGTTGACTTTGCTTTAAAAGGAAAGCAGTTCTGTTTTTCTATGAGTGTTTCAGTCTGAGGCCCCTGTCAGCATCTTGGGATACCAAAACTGCAAAGTTCCAAGGACGGCCTTTAACCTAATTTGAATTACAGGATTTCATTCGAATTTGATCTTACGCAGCAGCAACAAAAGAGCGTACCTTAGCAGCCAATCAGCTAGACACAGAGCTAGCACTTCTTTCAAACAGGCAACGTGCACAAAGGGTTACCAGCCAGGGGAGGGAGGGAGCAGGGAGGGAGAGAAGGGGGGCAGGAGGGGTGAGTCATAAAAAGGGGGCCTCTTGCTGCAGCCACAGAGGAGGGACCATAAACCATAAGGAGAGTAAATTTAGAACGGGAGGCCTACTGCATTAGAGGGATTCCAGACATTCGCGCTGAAGTGGCTGCCATCTTACATAGCCAAAGCTGGTAAACAAGGTCAAGACATCATATAGACTGATTCTACAGCAGCAATGACAATAAAGGGCTTACAGGTAGGTATCAGACTTAGTCTTTTACGAGGCAGCTGAATTCATGCTAAAGGAGCAGAAAGTACATGCAGCTCCACTGAAAAAAAATTTATCCAGAGATAAATAAATGAATTAAAACAGAAATCTGCACAGCCACGTTTCTGTTTCAAGCACCCAGAAAGGATTTTAAAGCAAAAATTAACGTGGCAATTCTGTTTGTGGTCTCTCTTGTTCCCACAGAGAACTCTGGGCCAGATTCTCAAACTAGCACGTGTAAATGCATCTCCTCTCGCTCTAGTGACATGCCATCAATTTGTACTAAGAATCTGATCTATAAAGTGAAAAGTAGCAGCTAAAAACAGCTCTACACGCAGGCAGCCAGTGCCCATACAACTCAGTCATGGTATTTCAGCACTTATAAGTACCTGAGCCTAAAACACCATTTAACTCTGCCAAATCATCCTAAACCAAGCCCTCTGTTTCAGTCCTGATATTTAAACGCACAGTTCAGCTTTTCAGCAAACCCACTGCTATTTCAGCTCTGATTTTCTCCAGAGTAGACAGATGAATTTTTTTGGTGGCTTCATGAAGTGGACAAATATCCTTCTTGTGGAGCTAAATGTCAGACAAAGTTCACTGCATTTAGGACCCAAGGAAGATTAAAATGTGGGAATCCACATAAATCGGAATAACATGATTGTATTTTGCACAAGGTAAATAATTAACAAATGCAATCACAAAATAGAAGCCAATTTTCTATCTTGAACTAGAATTTGATTTTTGGAAGCTAGACACAGACCCTCATCATTACAGATTCAACAAGAATTTCATTCTAACAGTTGAAGCAAGCAGGAAATATTTTCCATCGCCAAAAGAATTTATTCTCAGTACAACAGAAAACACATGGTGCACACACTCATATGTGAAATTCCACAAGTGAAACTACAGACTGCTGTAATGCACAAAGATAAATGAAATCCTTCAACCCAGCCAGATTATTTTAAAGATCCTTTGTGATGACAAGAGCCTTTCACGTGCTTCTGAAGCAAAAACCTGCATCTTAACAGAAACCATTTAAACAGAATATAGATAATTAAACACTTCACTTATGAATACAACGCTACAGCAATTTAAATCACCAACACATCCCTCAAGGTCTCTTTGGCTGGACTAGTCATCTTAGTACCTACCTGTATACTATTTTGTCGCTACCCAACAAATCAGTTACAACTTGAGGTAATCAATTCTGTCTCTTTGTAAAGATGTTTTAAACATTCTTTTAAGTTTCAAATCAGTACGTACTGCCAATACACTTAGTCCCCTTTGATCACGAACTCAATGCACAATCTATTAAACAAGATGCATCTGCCTCATTGTTAAGAGCTGTCTATTTCTGCACTCACATGTAGCTTATCAATGCTGTTTCCTTAAGCCAACAACTTGGTCATGTAGCTATTTCAGATTAGACACATCTTGAGTTGATTTAGATTCATCAAGGTATTGCTGGTACTCCCAAGAAAGAGTTAGTTGCTGGAAAAAGCATTTCAGAAACTTGCGAGAGCGTCTAGGATGCAGCCAGATTGTAAAGCAAAAAACATCAACCTCGCTGCAGATGAAGAATGAAAAACGTGTTATGTCTTAAGTGAATTCATCATTTATCTTACAACTACTTTTTCTTGTTTTACAAAGAGAATGATACTAAATGCATCTATTAAGAAATGTATGTTTACATAAGAGCCATCAGCCACCACATGATTTGTATCTGGAGTGTGCATCTTTGTGCGTGTATAAGAATACACATCACTTTTGCATTCATGTATATGCAAGAGAATGAAGAATACTTGTGTGATTTCGCCTAGCTCAGAAAGAAGATGAATTAAAAAAAACCCTAACATTTCTAACTTTCAAATATCATTTTTCAGTCAATTTTGCCATTTCTAATGCTTGCAGCGGCAGTGTGGTTTTAATTTACTTATTGGCTTTAATTTCATGCCAATGTATTTCACAATTTAAAAAAAACTTCAGCAGATTTTAAGTGTTTCTGACAGTATCAGGAGTTTTTCTGTTCAAGAGGTATTTTTGACTTTTTTTTTTTTTAAATCAAAAACACTCTGTAACGTGAAACAAAGATATGTGCACAAACATAAAAAGACTATGTATCCTGTTAATATTAGGAGGGAACGCTCTTGTAATTAAATTAGGCAACTGAAACCAGAACTCCTAAGATTTATTCTTACCACAGGTGTTTTTTTGTGGCCCCCAAACAAATCACTTCATCTTCTGTCTGGTTTCTTATCAGTTAAGTGTGTGCCTTATCCGCCACATCAAAAGGGTATGACTACGTTTTGCTGATCCGTGCTTGTGAAGTCACAACATATAAAAGGGAAAGAAGTCATGTAATATAAATTGCTCCCCGCTTCCCTGTGGACTGCACTGCCATACTATGGCAGCAAAACCATGAGGCAGTGTCTACAATAAAAAGGTAACATTTTATGCCCTTCTAAATTGGGTGTATATAACAAAAGGGCTTTCCATTCACAGGCGTGGGGGAGCTGTGCATTAAACAGCAGTGCTTAACACCAAGTCTTCTCCATTCCTTTAAATGAGCTTGAACAGCTCTAAGCATGTGGTTATCATTAGACAACCATATTTGTTTAACCTTTCAAAGGAAGGAAGAAGTCTTTGGCACATTCCAGGAGTACATGCAGAACCTGACTCTCACATCCTGAACTTAATTGAGCAAGAACATGTCAAAAAACCAAGTTCTAGTGTAAGTGAAACTTCAGTAACATCGTAATGATGTGTGGTGGCAATGGAGCTAGTGGGCAAATGCTGTGGTGTGATATCTGTCCAATATGGCAAGGCAGTCCTTAACCACATGCTGTACATCATTAATGAAAACAATGTTCTTCCCCAGCGCGTTACTTTTCACCATTACTAATAGAACAATCATTCTGGGAACGTACAGGACGAAAAAACACATTGGCATTAACGGGCTTCTACGCTTTGATCCAGAAATGCCATTTGTGTTTTATTTCTTATTCTATCAGAATTCAAACGCTGAGGAGTGCTTCAGAAGAGAAAATACAAGTTTCTGACAGCAAATAAGTTTCCACTATAA